TCTGCTTGTCTCATTTTGTTTCGTTTTCCCTGGCAGTTATTTAGATTTAAAAATAATTATTTCTGAAGAAATAATTATTAATCTGGGGTGCTCGAAGATTGAACAATCCTACTTCACCCCGCTCGTGGTCTAGAAATATGGGCTTAACATGAGAAATGAGAAATTAATGCGGACTAGATAAGTAATTTTAAAAAGATCAAGGGAGAGTAATTATAGACAATAAAAAGTGAAGAGCAAAGTAAACTAAACTAAACGGCCGATATCGGACAGATGGTCCATCAGGGCGGCGAGAATCTAAAAATCCTATGCCGAGAAATTAATGTGGGGGAAACGGGAGTACCCCGAGAAAACCCACTTTCACTGGTAACTATTGATCCGTTACCAGTGCTCTATTAATGAGAAGAAGTAAGTAGCAAGTAGGGAAGGCCGGTGCTAGGGGTTGATTAATTTGTGAAATTGTTGCGTAGTCTCCTGGAGTTTATCGTGGATTTGCATAGTATCTGGTTCCGGGCAAGTGGTAAAGGCGTGGGGTTCTCAGTGTCGTTGGTGAGAAAGCGGAAGGCTGAGAAAAGTTCGTCGGGTAGGTAGAGATCGGGGGAGGTGAGTTAGACGTCGATGATGTAGAAAGTGGTTTGGGGCTGGGAGGCGTGTTGTTGGTCTGTTGAAAGGCGTCGATGGTAAGTGGTGGCTGTGTCTGGGTGCCTTTTTTCCTCCTGGTAGTGGCGGTTTGAGTAGATGTATCTTGTGTTTCAGGAGTGGGTGAAGTTTGAGTAGCTTGATCGGATGTTTTAGGATGGGCGGTAGAGTTCTGGTTGGCGGCGGTTATCTGCTGGGTGTTGTGAAACGTGAGCATGGGGGCTGGGTTAGGAAAGGTATGGGGTGGGTGAGGCTTGCGATAGGGTTTTTCTGCCTTGAAATGATGGTAGTCAATGAAGCAGCCGTGGGAGAGGATGAGATCTGCTGTATGTTTAGAAGTTGTGACAACTTTCATGAACGTGGAGGGTAAACCTGTTTTCTTGGACTGGATGCGGTGAACTGCGTGGATCGTGGAATTTGTATTAGTTTTCAGGGCTTGGAGTATTTCTTCTGGCGTAAAGGATATATGAACGTTCTGTAGAAATATAGTGTGGAGAATGGCACTGCTTTTGGGGGGTTGGCAAGTGACGGGAGGATTTGAAGACCAGAGTTGGCGAAGGTAGTGGAAATCTTCCAGTGACTTAGGTTGGAGGAATAAGCTTCCCTTCCGTAGACGTCGGGTTCGCTCAAGGAATACTTGGGCTTGGGGTTTGAAGTGGCGGATGAAGTTAGCCGTGTACAGTGGCGAGAAGTCGTCCGTAGATAATTAACGGCAGCGTAGGATACGAGACACTCTGCATTCTGGCGTGTAACAAGGTCGATAGCTAATCGTCGAATGATTATCGTGATCCTCTGCTTGTCTCCTTTGTCTAGCGCACTTATATACGATAATAGCGCCCTCGTAGCCTCTTCGAGAATCTTCTAGACACTCATCACGTGCTACCAGCGTCACTTGACTTCCGCTGTCGTAACACAAACGCGTG